GGTCTCAGGTGGGTCTGAAGGGGTTTGTGGGGGGCCTCAGGTGGATCTGAGGACGGGTCTCAGAGGGATTAGGCGGGTCTGGGGGAACCTGAGGGTGACGGGGGGTTCAGGTGGGTCTGGGTGCTCCCCTGAAGCCTCCCCCGTGCCCAGGCAGGCGTCGCGGCCATGGCGGTGCAGGACCCCCGCCCCAACCACACCATCTACATCAACAACCTCAACGAGAAAATCAAGAAGGATGGTGAGGGGGGCTGGGGGCCGTGTTTGTCTGTGTGTTCCGCTGTCTGTCTGTCCCATTGTTACTGTCTGTGTGTGCCCGGGGCTGGGGGCAGTGTCTGTCTGTCTCCACTCCGCTGTCCCTCTGCCTTTATGTTCCTCTGTCCCCATGATTACTGAGCTGTCCGTCTGTCTCTCTGTCCCTGTGTCCCTGTGCTGATCGAGCTGTCCATCTGTCTGTCCGCAGAGCTGAAGAAGTCCCTGTACGCCATTTTCTCACAGTTTGGGCAGATTTTGGACATTCTGGTGTCACGCAGCCTCCGCATGCGGGGCCAGGCCTTCGTCATCTTCAAGGAGATGAGCAGCGCCACCAACGCCCTGCGGTCCATGCAGGGCTTCCCCTTCTACGACAAACCCATGGTGAGATGGGAATTTGGGGGAAAATCCCGGGATTTTGGGAAAAACCCCTGAAATTCCAGGGAAAAACACCAAAATCTGGCCTCAAATGTCCCCAAAATCCAACCAGGAATCCCTCTAAATTCACCAGTCCCAAAGCTTCCCCTTCTGCCCCAAACCCATGGTGAGACAGAGATTTGGGGCAAAATTCTGGGATTTTGGGAAAAAATCCTGGAATGTAGTGAAAAAACCCTGAAATTCTGGGGAAAAATGCCAAAATCTGGCCTCAAATATCTCCAAAATCCAACCAAAAAATCCCCAAATCCCTCTTGGAAACCCCCCAAACCCCCTCCCACAGCGGATCCAGTATGCCAAGTCGGACTCGGACATCATCGCCAAGATGAAGGGAACGTTTGTGGAGCGGGAGCGGGATCGGGACCGGGACCGGGAGCGCAAGCGGGACAAGCGCAAACCCAAGGGCAGCGACGCTCCCGGCCCCAAAAAGAGCGGGGCCGGGAGCCAGGCGGGCCAGGGGGCCGTGCCCGTGAGTGCCGGGATCGAGGATTTGGATCAGTTATGGGATTGGGGATTGGGATTGGGGATTGGGATTGGGATTGGGATTGGGATCCATTATGGGATTTGGGATCGGGATTGGGATTTGGGGTTGGTTTTGGGATTGGGGATTTGGGACTGGGATTGGGGACTGGGATTGGGATTTGGAATGCGGATTGGGGATTTGGGACTTAAATTGGGGGATTGGGATTTGGAGTGGATTTGGGATTGGAGATTTGGGATTGTGATTGGGATTTGGGATGGGGATTGTGATTGGGGATTTGGGGTTGTGATAGGGATTTGGGGTGAATTTGGGATGGATTTGGGGTGGATTTGGGGTCAGGATCACTGCTCTGTGTTCAGGGATGTTTGGGGGTCTCGCAGGGCCTGGCCCCGTTGGCGCAGGCGCCGCGGCTGCTGCCGCACCTGGGGGCGACCCCGCCCTACATCCCCCCCCCAGGAATGATCCCCCCGCCCGGAATGGCCCCGAGCGCCGGAATCCCGCCAGGAATGGCCCCGCAAGCCGGGCTGGCCCCAATGGCCGCCCCACAGCCCGTGAGTCACCCCACAGCAGGGTTATGGGGGGTTTAATGGGGGATCTGTGGGGTTTAATCCCCCAGGAATGGCCCCACAGCCTGTGAGTCACCCCACTGCAGGGTTATGGGATTTATGTGGGGTTTAATGGGCGATTCATGGGGTTAATGGGATTTATGGGGTTTAATCCCCTAGGAATGGACCTGCAGCCTGAAAAAACACACAGTAGGATTATGGGGGATTTAATGGGGTTCAATGGGGGCTTATGGGGGTTTAATGGGATTTTATGGGTGGTTTTAATGGGATTTTCTGGCTGGAGTTTTAATGGGGTTTTATTCAGACTTTATGGGATTTTATGGGCCTTTTCGGGCTTTTAATGGGATTTAATGGGGTTTTGTGGGATTTGGATTAGTGAGCAATTCCTGACACAGCCCCTGAGTTGGGATTTAGGGAGTAATACTCAGAATTGGGAGGATTTAATTGTGATTTTGTGTAGGTTTCTTGGGGATTTTCGGGGGCATCTTTTGAGGGATTTCTTGGTGGGATTTGAGGGATTTTGAGGGATTTTGGGGGGATTATCTGGGCAATTTCTGTGGGGATATTTTGTGGCTTTTTGGGGGGTTTCGGTGGGATTTTTGTGAGGGTTTTGAAAGGATTTTTATTGCATTTTGATGGAATTTTGGGGGAATTTTTGTGGGTTCTTCCAGGTTTTTTTTTTGATTTCAGGCCAATTTCTGTGGTTTCTTCTCAGATTTTTGTTCAGATTTTGGGGTTTTTTTGGGGGCATTTTAGTGGGACTTTTGGGGCAGTTTTTGTGTTTCTTTTCAGGATTTCTCTGAGGTTTTGGGCAAGTTTTTGTGGGTTTTTTTGGGATTTTGGTAGGGTTTTGGGTCGATTGTGGTGGGTTTTTTTTCCAACATTTTTGCAAGATTTTGGGGTTGAGCTTTTGTGGGTTTTTTTGAGATTTTGATGGGATTTGGGGCAGATGTTTAGGTGCGTACCCAGTGTCACTTTGGGCTGATTTGGGGCTCTTTTGGCACAGATTTTGGAGCAGATTTGGGGCTGATTCATGGCAGTTTTGGGGCTGATTTAGGGATTTGGGGCTGATTTTAGAGCAATTTTGGGGACGTTTGGGGCTTATTTAGGGCTTATTTGGGGCTGGGTTTAGGGGCTCATTTTGGGCAGCTTTGGGGCCGATTTGGGGCACTTCTGGAGCTGATTTAGGGCAGATTTTGGGCAGTTTTGGGTTAGGCACATTTTGGACTGATTTTGGGCTGATTTTGGGGTCCCCCTCCCCACAGCTTTCAGAGAACCCCCCGAACCACATCTTGTTCCTGACCAACCTCCCCGAGGAGACCAACGAGCTGATGCTCTCCATGCTCTTCAACCAGTGAGAGCCGGGAATCTGGGAATTCCGGGAGGGGCCGGGCCATTCTCCGCTTGGGGGGGGGCTCGGTGCTGGGTTTTTTGGGGAAAACATCGGGATTTGGGTGGGAATTTCTGGATTTTTTGAGGAGTTGGGTTTTTGGGGGTTTTTTTGGGAATGCCTCTGCAGCATTTGGGGAAAGTCTCCTCATTTTTGGGAGCACTTCAGGATTTTTTTTGAGAAAAAAAAATTGGATTGCAGGAGGGAGGTGTTTTTGGGGAAATTTTCTGGGTTTTGGGGAACGGTTCTGGATTTTTGGGGGAACATTTGTGGATTTTGGGGGAAAAGTTCATTGATTTTGGAGAATGTTTCAGAATTTTGGGGGAAAGATTCTCAGTTCTGGGGGAAATGTTTATGAATCTTCTGGAAAAATTTCCTCATTTTTTGAGAGTGTTCCCAGATTTCTGGGGGGAACAGTTCTGGGTTTTTTTTGAGAACATTTCTGAATTTTGGGAGGGTAATTCCAAGATTTTTGGGAGAACATTCCCAGGCTTTTGAAGGAACATTCCCAGATGTTTTGGGGAGCATTCCCAGATTTTTTAGGGGATATTCCCAGATTTTCAGGGAAGATTCCCAGATATTTGGAGGGGTCATTCCCAGATTTTGGGGAGGAACATTCCTGAATTTTTTGAGGAAACATTCCCAGATTTTTGAGGGAACAATCTTGGATTTTTGGGGGAACATTCCTAGATTTCTTTTGGAGAAGATTCCCAGATCTTTTAAGAAAACATTCCCCAGTGTTTTTGGGGCCCATTCCCGTATTTCCAGGGTGCATTCCCGTGTTTCCGGGGACCATTCCTGTATTTTTGCGACCATTCCTGTATTTTTGGGGTCCATTCCCGTATTTTTGGGGACCATTTCCATGTTTTTGGGGCCCATTTCCATGTTTCTGGTACCGATCCCGCTGCCCTTCCCAGGTTCCCGGGGTTCAAGGAGGTTCGCCTGGTTCCGGGCCGCCACGACATCGCCTTTGTCGAGTTTGACACCGAGGTGCAGGCGGGCGCTGCCCGCGAGGCCCTGCAGGGCTTCAAGATCACCCAGAGCAATGCCATGAAGATCTCCTTTGCCAAAAAGTGATCTCCAGCCCCCGAAATCCCGGGAAAACACCCCCGATTCCTGACAAAAGGGGCACGGAATACCCCAAAACCCCAAAAAAATGCCTCAAAACCTCCTTAAATACCCTGAAACTGCCCAAAAATGCCCCGAATGCCTTCAAGCCACCCCAAAATCCCTTCAAAGTGCCCTAAAATCCCTCCAAACCACCCCAAAATCGTTTCAAAACACCCTAAAGTCCATCTAAACCACCCCAAAATCCCCTAGAGACGCTCTAGAATCTTTTCCAAACCACCCGAAAATCCCTCAAAACCACCCCTAAGTAGCCTACATCTGCCCCAAAACATTTCAAACCCCTCCAACCACCCCAAAATCCCTTCAAAATGCCCTAAAATCCCTCCAAACCACCCCCAAATCCCTCAAAACTGCCCCTAAATATCCTAAAACTGCCCCAAAGCCCCCAAATCTTAGAGAATTGCCCCAGATCCCACAAAAATCCAACAAATACCAGGTAAGTTCAGCCCAAATCCTCTTTTTTAATCCCAAATGCTCTTTTTTATAATCCCAAATCCTTTTTTCTTTCCGCAAATCCTTTTTCTCAACCACAAAACCTTTTTCCACCCCAAATCTCCTTTTTTGACCCCAAATCCTTCTTTTCCCACCTCAAATTCTCCGTTTTCCACCTCAATTCCCCTTTTCTCACCCAAAAACCTCTTTCCCCACCTCTAATCCTTCTTTTTCTACCCCAAAATTCCTTTTTCCATCCCCAATCCCCTTTTTCCACCCAAATCCCGTTTTTCCACCGAAGTCCTGACCCCAAATGCTCAATCCTCGCCTTAAGTCCCCCTTTCTTCACCCAAATCTCCTTTCCCATCCCAAATCCTTCTTTCACGCAAATCCCATTTACTCCCCCAAATCCCATTTCCCAGCCCATCCCAAGGGATTTTTTGGATTTTCCCAAGGAATTTTTGGTGTTTCCCGAGGGATTTTTGGGGTTCCCAAGAGGTTTTTGGGATTTTTCCCAGCATTGTACCCAGGGTCTCTGCAGACATTGCACCTGGAGCTGGCCCCGTCCCAAATCAACCCCAAATAATCCTCAAATCCCAGTTCCCAGCCCCTCACAAGAGATTTTTGGGGTTTCCCTGAGAGATTTTTGGGGCTTTTCCCAGCATTGTACCCAGGGTCTCTACAGACATTGCACCTGGAGCTGCCTCTGCCCCAAATAAACCCCAAATTAACCCCACTGCGCCCACCAGGACTGGAGTGGGTTTTTTGGGGGGAAGGATTTGGGGTCTGGGGTATTTGACCCCAAAGTTTGTGTGATTGGGGGGATTTGACCCCAAAATTTGGGAATTTTGGGAGTTGACCCCAGGATTTGGGGAATTTAACCCCCAAGTCTGTGGGATCAGGAGGGTTTGACCCAAGAATTTGGGATTTTGGGGGGTTTTGACCCCAAACTTTAGGAATTGGGTGTGTTTGACACCCCAGTGTTTGGAGTTTGGGGGTGGGGGGTGACCCCAGAATTTGGGGGGGTTTAAGCCCAAAGTTTGGGATCAGGGGGATTTGACCACAGAATTTGGGATTGTGGGGTGGGGAGGTGTTGACCCCAAACTTCAGGATCAGGGGGATTTGACCCCAGGATTTGAGGGGGTTTTGACCCCAAAGTTTAGGAACTGGGGGATTTTGACCCCAGAATTTGGGGATTTGGGAGATTTAACCCCTAAGTTTGGGATCAGGGTCGTCGGACACCCTGAACATTCCAAACCCCAGAGATTGGGGTTTGATCGAGGTTCAGGAGGGAACGGGGGATTTGAAACATTTGGGGTGTCCAAATGCCCTGATTCCAAAGTTTGGGGTCAACCTCCCCCTAATTCCCAAACCCTGGGGTCAAAAAGCCCCAAATCCCAAACCCTGGGGATAAAACACCCCCAATTCCTAAAGTTTGGGGTTAACCTCCCCAAATCCCCAAACGCTGAGCTCAAAAACCCCAATCCCCGAACCCTGGGGTATCAAAAACCCCAAATCCCCAAAGTTTAGGATCAAACCACCCCAGTCCTGGGGGTCAAAGGTCAGGGGTCAAAATTCAGGGAGCGATTTCTGGGACCTGCCCCCCTTTTCTTGTTGCAGCAGAGCTCCTTTTTGGGAGAGGGTCTAGACCTAGAAGGGCTTCCAATAAAGCAAGGTGCTGCTGTCCAGGGCAGTTGGAGCTGTTCTCTGCCTTCTTTGGGGGTGAGGAGCAAAGGCTGAGGGGGACGGGGTGGAGACTGGGGGGCTCCCGTGTCCCTTGGGGCACGCCGAGGTCCCCGCGAGAGGGAGGCACTGCGAGAGAGGATCCGTCCCGAGGGTGCTGAGCGCCTTCCAGAAGGTGCGGAGCC